GGGGGGGGGGGGGGGGGATGCACCGGCAAGACAGGTTTCCATCTTACACAGGTTTTCATCTTACACAGGTTACGGTTTAAAACAGGTTCAACTATATTATTTGTCTCAGGGGTTGTAGTTATTGCTTTGTTCATTGGCTTTTGAGTTACTACTCTTGAACATCTCATAAAAAACCTGAACTTTATAACTTCTGAAATTGAGTAAAAAGATTTAGTTGTACGTTTGGGAATAGGTGCCGTATAATATCTCGCCTATAACACGACCTTACTTATACGAGGCATAGACGGGGGAAGAAGTTGTACTGTGATTTAAAGATTTAGCCCATTTATATAGGTCGAGCGTATAATATGGGGGCTTTTCTGACATGCTTATTGGGGGTTCATCATGCTTGAAATGAAGTAGGCTACTGAATGGGTATCTAACATAGTGTTTTACCTTTAAAAACTGACGGTTATTGCACTGAGATTGATTTAATTTTAATCAGTGGGTCTGGAGTGGGAGGTAACCCTGATATATTGTAATCTATTGTTCAATGAAAACTCCTATTTGACTTTACTTCCCCTTTCTTGGGCTCGCGGTCTTGGCTCTGTATCTCGCAATATGATTATGATAAGTTGATATAATGTGACACCTTTAAACCTCTTTCAAAATAAAAATCGCTTGTTGATCTATTATATGTGAGTTCATATGGTAAGCTTCTGAAACCTCATTTTGTAAATCTCTTTGCCTTGGTAGCGATATAGAGGGAAATGGACATTTTTAGTTGAAATTCTATGAGTTGGATTTTAAGTATGGATTGATTTTTTTCTCTTGTATGTTGTAACATAATGTTTTTAAAAGGTTTCTTTCCTTTTTTTCTCTATTTTGAATTGAATTGTGTGTGCCTTTGTTTTTCAGGAGTAAAGAATACTTGGCTTGGAAATTTTGAACAGTCTGGTCTCCCGTTTGTATGCGGGGTCTCTGGGATCCAAGTCCTGATTTCTCTGTTTGGGAACTTGGCGGTCACTGGGGGAAGTCTCGACTCTCAAGACGACGGTTTCGCAGCCGTGGCCAATATGGAGACTGCAGGAGGCGGGTAAGTTGTGAATATGGGTGGTAGGCAGGTGCTTTGGTGTAGTTTGCTCCTTCTTTTCTATCAAACATTTATCGTCCTCATCTCTCCTCCTTTTATTTGTTTGTTATGGTATAAATGTAGGCAGAAGACCTTTCATTTAGTTTAAGGCAAAGGTTCGAGGACATTAGTGTAGGCCAAGAACATAATAATGGCATATATATCACAGAAGCATTCAATGGCAGATCTAACTTTGATAATTCATGTTAGTGTGGACCGACTGTGGTCGTGTGAAAGCATGTATCTGCACATGGTAGGCTATTGTTGCCATATGTGTCAGCATGCTTCCTCTTCACCAGAGATTAGATCTACGCACTACACAACAGCTTCTCAGGATTCTGCAAAATAAAGACTAGATCTAGCTTTAGATGAAGACGTAAAAGAAAGTGGACCGTAGCGAAGGTAAAGACGTGGAAAGATTTCTTGGTTGAGGAAAAATGGCTGTAATGTTAGTCTACACACACGACAGCAAAACTAGAGACGAACACACACGACAGCAAGCATTCTAATAATGTAATGAGACCGGGTGCA